TTGGCTGCTGTACAGATTGATAATCATTTGCGTACATATATATATATATATATATATATATATAAACATATATATATATATATATATATATATATATATTCTGTTCATTATGTATGCCCTCATTGAATAGATAACCTTCTTGGAATGATACCCTATTATTATTATTATAATATTATTATATATATTATATACAGGAAGCTTAAACTCAGAGACATTTTTCATGGAAACCCCCCAAAGAGGTTAAACTGTTTCCTCTGCGGAGTGTGTAAATTAAAGAAAAATACAAAAAATAAATTAAAGATTTGCCTTCAAAGGTAAACAGAAAGAAATACCCTCAATACAAATATAAAAACCCGTTACGAAGTGATTATATTTATTGTATTGCTTAATAATAATGACAGCCCTTAGTCCTATCAACAATATTAAGTAGAAATTCTAACAGCAATAAACAATGAAAATAATAATAAAGATAATAACAATAAGCGTATTAACAATAGAAAGAGAGAAAGACGCTGGATAGACACAGCCGAAGAGAGTTGTTGTTTTTCTGCTTTTGTTTGTTTGCCTACGTAATCAGAAAAGAAGAGAAGTACTCCGTTTTTGATTATTTGTTCGTCTGAACGTCGAAGAGACTCCAACCAACTTACGCATTCCATTGCGCCTTCTTCTTCTCCCTACCCTCATTAACAAACAAATATAAATAAAATAGATAATATGTATATACTGTGTAATACATAATATACAATAAAGAATATAAATATATACATATATACATGACATATATAAATATATACATATATACATGACTTATTTTCATATATTCTTATTAGACAAACTTTTCCTTCTACGCGGTGTCTCTCCTACCAAACACTTTGAAGCGTCTAATTCTCCTGCTGCTTTTCTTTGTCTCGTTATATATATATATATGTATATATATATATATATGCATACTAGCATAGATATACATATATACATATATATATAAAGCTATATCAGTCTTATTGACTTACTTCAATAAACAAAACAGCGAAGTGCGCTACGAACAAACCAACGCCAGTGATGAGATTTTTTGTTTGTTTTCCCTCAGCTCGCGCCTTCAGCCCAGCTGCAAACTCAGTCGCACTTTTCTTCAAATAACACCAATACAACAAATCAGACAAAACACTCTTCTCTTTTTCCTCATATCCATATATATATATATATATATATGTATAAAGATAGATATACATTACATATACATTGTGCTTTCATATATGTATATATATATATATATATATATACATATACATATGTATATACATGTATAAATGTATAAACATTACCTTTGCACACATACATACACACACACACACTCCTATATATATGTATATTATATATATATATATATTATATATATATTATATATATAATATATATAAACAACATAAACAGCAGCGAAGACGAGGAGAAAACGGCTTTAATATGCCAACCGTCGAGCAAATCAAATTTCGGATTTTTTTCGTCTAAAGTCAACGCGAAGAGAAGACGAGTCCTCAGAGGCTGCAAATGCAAATCAAACACTTTATTAAAGTTTACTTCTATATATATATGTACATGTATATATATATATATATATTTGTGTATATGTGTATAGTTGTTTGTACTAAACAACCTGTAGTCATCTAACTACTTTGAATGGAATGCGTCTCAGTGAATAGATTTACGCATTATATAATACGCAGACAAAAAAAGAAAGAATATAAATATATTGAGGGAGAAGATATCCACGAGTTGTAGTCTATTTTTAATTATTTACTTCTGTCCTCGTGAATACATGTTTATTCTGTCTGTTCACTGGTAGGGTATTGATTTATTTGTTTAATTTGTCTAATTTGTTGTAACTGTATCCTTTTTTGTCTAATTATTGATTTATATTTTTTATTTTTCTTTTATTTACTTTCTTTTCGAGTAGTTGGCGAATAACAGCGAGAAAAGACTGCGGCCGATCTGTTGAAGGAAGTTCAGCAGATAACTCCTTCATTTTCTTTCTTTTATAAACCTAATTATTTGTTTTAAATTGACTATTTTTTATTTTTATTATGCAACTATTTATGCCTTACTATGGAACAAACAATTAAATAGAGAGGGACTAAGCAGTCTGTATGCTGCTTTGATGCTTTGTAAAGAAATATAATTAATGTACTGCAGCTATCTTCGATATAGTAATGAAGACAGTTTTATAAATGAAATTTAATTATAAAATTCATCTCTCTAAAGAAGCAACTCTGTATAACAACTGTGTATATTATTTTTAGCTATTGAAAGGGATCTAATTAGGGTCTGAAGCGATCCGGTAAAAGAGTAAAATGCTGGAGTAAAGAAAGAAGAAGAAGAAGAAAGGAAGAGGGTTCTTATTTAATAATACAAAGCCATCGCACAACAGAGCAGAAAGAAGACTGAACAGAGGAGAGCAGCAAATAAACACAATAATAGAAGGCTCCCTGATCTTTATTCTTGAATTGATATAACCATAAAGACTTCATAATAATCGTGAAAATAGTCAGAGTTGTTTATTTAATTTAATTAATCTTCCTAATGCTGAAGAAGCTGCAGATGCAGCTCCAGCCAGAGATGGGAGCAGGGGCCCCTTCGTGCGGATACGGTGAAGATATAAGTAAGGAATTCTCTTCTTTTATGTTTTTTTCAACTCAAACAGATTAAATATTGATTATAATTACTATTTCATTAAAAAACCCTAAACAACAAACAGAAACAACTGCGTACAGAAGCTGCTGTGGCTGTTGGGCTTGGTCTGACTGGTGGGCGGCGGTGCTATCACAGTGTACATTCATACAGCTGGAGGTAAGATCTATTTGAATTCATTTTGAGGCAACTTTGAAGTATATCTTTATTATATTTAGGAAGAGAAGAGAAGAAAAGGACAAACTTCTCTCAATTATCCTATCTACTCAGCGGCCTGCCTCAGCACGACGCTGCACACTTCACGGTGGTTGCTGCGGGGCGTTATGCATGCAATTGCAGTTTTCATAAAGGTTTATTATTAATCTAATTGAGAATTAAATACTTTATTTTGCCTTTTTATTCAACCCTTCACCCTTTTATTCGCTGTTTCCACCTCCTTGACTCCACAGACCCGCAGCCAGCAGAGCGCATCCCACTCTCAACAGCCGCCAGCTGTACGTACACCCGAAATTCAATTAATCTTCAATTTCTTTCATCTTCCCGTTCATTATTATTTGCTCTTCTCTGTACACGGACTCATTCAAGGCGCTTCCTGCAGCCGTGTGGGAGCGGCGGGGGAGGTCTTCCTGCTCGTTTGTCTGAGACAGTTTATTAGTTTTTTCTTCAGCATTTGTCTTCTTTCTCTTGTTTTTATTCCGTTGTATAGTTGATTCTCGTCTTCTCAGAAGCCATGACAAGAGCAGGAAGCCCCAGCATCAGCAACAGCAGCAGCAGCAGCAGCGGCAGCAGGTGTTGCGGGAGCAGCAGCACAACCTCCACGAATTCGTTTTCTTCTTCTCCTGATGCAACTCTGCTTCAATATCAGCAGCACTTAGCTTCTTCTGGTGCTGAGTTAGGCGCTGAAGTGTCTGCTGAGCTTCCCGCTTTTCGCCGTCGTGTTTGTTCTGCTACCAGTGACACTGCAGCAGAGAGCAATGCACAAAGCCCAGTAGAAGTTGAGGGAGAGAAAATGCAGAGAAAGAATAAAGAAAGCGACGCATTGGAGTCAGAAGCAGCACAGCATCATTATAAAGAGAGCAGCAACAAACACAACAAAGACAAACCCAGCGATAAAACCTTCAGCGAGATGAAGACAGCAGGAACAAATAAAGCAAATAGCAGCACTAGGAGGCTAACACCGAACACAGAAAGAGCAAAACAGGCTGAAGACATGATGATGAAAACAGAAAACTGCTGCTTTCCTTCAAAGTTAGACGTCTTCGATCCCAACTCGGATATCGCCAAGTCTCCTTATAGGGGGTTTGCAATTCTTTTATGTACGCCTAATGCATTCAATCAATATGTATATATATATGCATATATATATATATATACATATGTGTATACGTATATATATATATATATATATGTATTCACTGTCTCTCCTGATGTCCTTCTTACTTACGCTGTACAGACACCTCAGCTACTTTGCTGCATTATAAACTAATTGCTGCGTATCCTCGCCTTCACGCTGCACACCTTTAGCCTGCTTACACCTTAATAATCATCTACGCTTTATATATATATGTATTGTATGTATAATATATATATATATAATACACAACTACATACATGTAACAATATATATATATATATATATATATATATATAT